TATTGTTTGATCATTGTATTGTGATTATTGCTTGTTTGGCTGATATAGCCATTATATAGGATTTACCTTTAGAGTGATTACACTTTTTTCATGACATTACTTATCTGGATGTTTATATATGTATTTATACTTGATCTGTTCAAGTTTTTTTGGATCAGTCACTGTTGAGATAGTTTTTGGCGTACTAAGGTTGGTCATCTGATTATTTTAATTTTAATTTAATTGGATTGTAGGCTCAGCATACCTATTGGCCACTCTTTGTATTGTCTTTACATCTTGCTCTGTGGATCTCTGGATCCGATTGGTTGATTGACTGATTCATGCCAGCTGGAGTGATTCAGCAAGGTCCTGTCTGTTAGATATGTGGGTTATACCCACTTTGTGCATTAACGCTGAGGAAAGCCAAGTGCTGAAACGCGTCCGTTTGTGATACTGCTGTGCGTTATTAAAAGACTGATATATATGATATTTGTGAGTGCTGACATTTGGATTTATTTAGTTTGTGAATTTTGGGTCAGCACCCTGTGATTTTTCAAATGGCAAGTTGAGCACGTCAATTCTTTTACCTTGTATGGTAGCCTCGGCCACCAGTGTGTGAATATGTGTGTGACTAGAAAGGCACTATCCATTTAGGTCCATTTACCTTTTAGCATTTACGATGTACAATTGCCCCAAGTGGTTATGCTGCAGCCTGTTTCACTGCTGCAAGCTTCAGTAGTCCCGCTCAATACTGGACCGATTTCAAAAACTGTAGTTTTGGGGCACAAAATCATAAGAAAATGGGGTCCAGGTTGAAAAATACCAAAGTTACCCTTTATTTGGCCTCATGCCATAACATATTTTAGCCATGCTAGCGTCATGGATTGGAACATTGGTCTGTTGATCAGTTGGTACAGACTGAAATTTCTCAACAACATTGAATGTGTTGCCCTGAAAAATATCAGCATGTTAGCATTGTCATTGTGAACATGACAGGATACTGACATTTAATATCTAGCTCAAAGCACTTCTGTGCCTAAGTACAGTCTCAAGCCCCTTGCATGGCTTAGTCATAGTTTTAAATACCAATGCTATTCAATCTTGATACATTGATTGTGTGGTACAAAACTTTGGAGTGGAACATTTTGTATAGCACTTCCCCTACAAAGTGCTGAAACAAAGAACACGAGAGACAGAAAAATAGACCAAATACAGCTTTAAATATAATTTGAAATGTGGGCCATGTCTTCAATAACTGGCATGGCGTTCTCTTCCAGGTCTCTCCAAGGCAGCCCGGGTAGGTCATCTAAAAGCCATAGTGAGTATGGCCTTCTTTCAAATGTGTGGAGCCACATCTGATGACATCATCTACATCACTCTTCCTCTTTACCACATGTCTGCTTCCCTGTTAGGAATTGGAGGATGCATACATCTTGGTAAGGCAAGGCAAGACAAGTTAATTTATACAGCATATTTTAGCAACAAGGGAATTCAAAGGGCTTTACAGAAATAATCAAAAGCTGCTAGACAATATGCAAAAGAAATAAATGATAAAAAAGACAATTGAATACAATTAAAAGAGACAGAGAATATGAAATAAAAACAAGCTAAAATATATCAAGACAGGTAGAAACAACAAGATTAAAAGTTACAGTGCGGTGCAAGAAATGAATACATATTTGATTTAATAAAAGATTGATGACTGGAGTTTTCAGGCCCTTGTAGAATTTGTAGAATTTCTGAGGTCATCTATTTTGAAACATTTTTTAAAAGGCCTGTTGGCAGAATATCAAGGCAGCAGGAGGGTTTTGGATGTTGCTCAGTGTGGCATTTCTCCACAGAAGAAGAAAAAGCCGGTAACAACATGACAAAATTTAAATTCAGCATGCGCCTCATCTGTACATAAAGTAAAGCATACAGTACGGACAAAATGTACAGTGCTGTAAAGTTGTCCACCATGGTTCCAGTTTGCCACTAGCTAACTGTAGCTAACTTGTTTGTCATCTGTTTGGTCTGTGACACAAGAGGTCAACTGGAAAAAGATCCAATACTAACAAGCTGAAATGGGGCATATCTCCACCTATCACAGCAGAGTCAGACATACTTCGGTTAATAAATTGATTCCCCTCCCATGCTTGTATCCTAGGACAGTTAGTCCAATCAAATGGCCTAGTCACGCTATGAACTTAGCTCCACTTAACTGTGCATTAAACATACTGACTGTTAAATCTAATAACAATATATTGGCTGATCTTATTTTTGGTCATTTATACATTAACACATGACATAAAGAAACATTTGGATAAGTGTCCTTTACTTAATTATTAAAGTATTACTGTAGTTTCTTAATAGAATTGCAGCAAAGATGTGTATTGGGCAGGATTTTTCACAGCTGAGGGAACTTGGTCTGCTCATGTATCAATGCTTCATAGATCATGTATTACCTATGGTAATTGCTCTCATGCTTGTGTACTGGGACAAGTGAAGGCTGCTGGCTGCCTCTGCCTTCCACTGAGTAGTTAAGGGGAATAAAAAGGATGAAATCCTGCTCTAAATTATCATCTCACGATGAATGTTCAAACTAATTACTAAGAGAGTCCTTCTAGTGATGTGGTTAAGGAAGTAGTATGGCAGCAGAAATAATAGCTAAATTCAGACAAAGCAGAGAATGTGAAGAAAAATCTTCTGCACAGTAGCAAAGCAGGAAGTAGAAGATAAAAGAACCGCTGTACTCAAGGACAAATACACGCAATTCCTACAATTCCTTGAAGATTTGCCATTTATATTCAGTACATTATAAGGTCCAGGGCAAAAACTGAAGGAAACCAACACGACAACAGATATCCTTTAATGTTAGCCTATAGAATATTTCAAACTTGACAATACAGACAATGGGTCTCTAAATGGGTCCCTTGGTACATTCTGTTGGAATGCTTGTTATTGTAGAAGCTGACAGGAAGTAAACAGGGACCAGAGCTGTTGTCCTTGAAACAGAATGGTAATGAAACGGCTGACAAGGAATTCCCACTTCCTCACATACCAGGACAAAAGCTGAAACATAGCAGAGGAAATTTCTCTCTACAGCTCCAGCTATAATTATTCTGTCTGACATTGTTAGACATTTAGCACCCAAAACCCAAAAAGTTTGTAGTGCTATATTGTGTTATGCGATTTTGTTTGACATCTCCTCTCTGTCTTCTCCTTTGTATCACAGGTGCAACATGTGTGTTAAAAAAGAAGTTTTCTGCCAGTCAGTTTTGGAAGGACTGCTTGAAACACAATGTGACGGTGGTGCAGTACATAGGAGAGCTTTGTCGATACCTGTTAAACCAATCTGTGGTAAGACTGATAACTGATTTGACTTGAAGTTTAAAGCCTCACTCCAATGTATTTGACATTATATACAAATGACTGTACAAGCAGTCATCCCAGCACTTTCATTGTCAAGTTTTCTGATTATACTGCCATATTGGACCTTATGGACACAGACACTGACATTTCTGGCTGTAGTTTGGAGGTTAAAAAGTTTGTGCAATGTTGTGATGACCAACTTGTCATTGTGAACACTAAGAAAACAGAAGAAATGGTTTTGATCCAGCACATCTAGAGGATTATTTCCTACTATTGGTCCATAACCAGTTTTATTCTTACAAATACTTGCATGTACGTATTGACTGTCTTGAAATGTCCATGGGAATTCTTTATGCTCTAGGATCCAACAGCAACTTGACTTTTTGTACAAACTCAGGGTGTTTGGGGTTGGACAGAGGGTGATGATGTTATTTGTTATGCTGTAATAAAGAGTATATTACGTATGAGAATCCAAGCTCAATTTGATGAAGCTAAAATCACAAATAAACAGACTGGTCCACATGGCGGAGGGAGTACACCACATTGAAATGTGTACCACAAAAAGTGTCACTTAAAGTATTACTTTCCAGATTCATTGTGATATGTCACTTTTTTTATGCTAGTGTATACTTCATCTCCTCTACATCATACTCAGAGGGATTATTTCGTATTCTTTTTTATTGCACTACAATTTTTGAAAGCTGTAGTCACGTTGAAGATTCAGATTGATAATACAAAATATGCGCAAGAAATAAATTATGATATATTACTATAGATTAAACTACCATGCAGTATATAAAATAGATAAATGAGCTCCACCTTTACCAGCTGCAACATTTATGTGATCAAGATCAAGATCAAGATTTATTACCTGCATACACAGAAAAAAACAAAATACTGTTTCTCATCAGTGGCAGACAGTGCATTAAAAAGTCAGTAAAATAAGTTAAAAATCTAAAACATTAAGAAGACAAGATAAAATAAATGAACAAAGATCACAGAATGCCATACAAACACACACCATCAACTCTCAAAGCACATAGATAAAGTGCTGACCGTGCAATATTGTCCATGTTGCCTTTGACAGATGCTTAACTGTCAGGTGTGGGGGTGTGTGTGGGTGTAAGTGTAGGGAGGGGGGACAGTCCGTTGATCAGCCTGACAGCCTGAGGAAAGAAGCTGTTCAGCTTCCTGGATGTTTTACAGCTGATGCTTGCGTACATTTTTCTGAAGGCAGTAGGGAGAAGGTGTGATGGGAGGGGTGATGTGAGTCTGTAATGATGGAGATGGCTTTGTGGATGCAGCGCTGCTTGTATAATTCCAACAAGCAGGGAAGTGGAGCGCCGATGATCTTGCTGGCTGTCTTAACAGTTCTGTTCAGCTGCTTTTTTTTGAGATGTGAGGTGGGGAGGCCAGGTTTCCTGAGTCTGCGGAGGGAGTGGAGCTGCTGTTGTGCTTTCTCGATGACTGCTATGGTGTTGGTGGATGAGGTGAAGTCATCAGCAATGTGGACACCAAGGTATTTCACACTGCTGGCCCTCTCCGCATGCAGTTCTGGTCTCTGGTCTTGTCCACATTGAGAGAGAGGTTGTGATGTCTGCACCATGTTGTTAGCTGCCTCACTGCTTCCCTGTATGCAGACTCATTGTTGTACTTAATAAGGCCTGCCACGGCCGTGTCATCTGCAAATTTGACAATGTGGTTGGTGTAGAAACTAGCTGTGCAGTCATGGGTAAGCAGGCTAAAGAGGAGAGGACTGAGCACCCAGCCCTGGGGGGAGGGTCCATGTACTTTGCGGCCATTCATTTTTCATTTTGATGTAGGTAAACAAAAAAACGGGAAATGATCCGGTTTCGTTTTTTCGTTTTGATGTAGGTAAACAAAAAACGGGAAACGAGTTGTCTCCCGTTTCTCGTTTGGAAAACGGGAAATGGGCCTTTATCAGATTTTCTATTATGTGTTTATTAAACACAAGTCTTCTTTTTTCTTTTACTCAAGCTTGTTTTGCCTTGACCCGGAAAACAGTATTCTTCTTCTACTACTACTTCTTCCTCTTCTGCTTCTGAAATGACAAACTACACTACAACATCTTGCTGCCCCCTGGTGATATTATTGGCTTGCTGCGCTTGTGCATCCATTTAGAAGCCTCCTTTGGCGCCCATTTTCTGGGACTTGAAATTGGGCCCAATAATCAACTCCAAGCTGAAGTCGCTTCAGCTACTGCTGACGTAAGTAGCGTCGCCTGAGATTCATTTATGATATGTATGATACTTAAAGCAGCTGTGCAGAACTTTACATTTTCGTTGATTATAGTGCCCCCCTTTGGTCGAAGCGGTATGACACCCACAGCCTGGTGTAATTACCAGCAATTACCGCATGCATTTGTTTTGGAGAGCGAGAAGAAAATCATAAATGTTCTGGTGTAGTTCTGAATTTCTTATAAACTGAGGACAACTGCCCTACTACATGTCATTTAGCCATGTCATTTTCTTAAATCCTACTCGTAAACACGGCTCCTTCTTCTTCTGTGGTTTAATGGCTGCGTGCCGCTGCGGGCGTGCAGACTTACTTGCGCCTCCGGGTGCCATATTCTGGTTTGCTGACTTCTGCTGTGTCCGACCCGAGCCAGGCTACGCTAAATAGCCATATAGAGAAAGGCTTTTTTGTCGCTGTTGGGTTCAAATAAATATGTGGATCTTCAAGGGGAGGTGATACGAACTAGGGACGGTTTTATGAATGGTAAAAAGTTCCGCACAGCTGCTTTAATTAAATTAAAATTGCAGATTTCCGTACCAGTATACCTTATTTTAATAACAGTAAGGCCTTAATAATATAATATCTAGGATGAACGTGCCATAATTAGTTTTGAATTA